CAAAAGGAGTGCCCCCAAATGTGACCATGGCAAAACTGGAAGAGACTACAGTGTTACCCGGCATGCGCTCAGCATTGTTGTAAACAAACAAGGGCAAGGTCCTTGCCAAGAGAATTAATGTACCTATTCAGCATATTAAGCACTTGTAAGAGCCAAGACAGCTTCCTGAGGTGTGTGAAGGGAAATAATCAGAAAAAGAGGGAAGCCAAAGAGAAAGGTACTTGGGTCCAACTCAAGCGCCGGCCTGCTCCCCCTGGAGAAGCACGCTTTGTGAGAACAAATGGAAAGGAGCCTGAGCTGCTGGAACCCTTCCCTAGGAATTCATGGCTTCATAGGTGTAGAGGCAATAAAAGTAAAAATGTTTCTCTTAAATTGAGTTAAGTGTGGTGTTCCCTCCACCCAAGAAATACTTAAAGCAAACTTTGTGTCTTAAAAAAAAAACAGCTGGATTCAAGTCAAATCATTATGCTCTACACTTAAAACGTATACAGTGGTGTATTCCAATTGTATCTCAGTAAAGTGGGGAGAGGGAAGCTGTAGATTCTCTTTTGCTTTTAGAATCAGGAATTGGGAAAAAGTAGGGGGCTGAGAGAAATAACAGTTCTATCTGCTCATCTGCTGGATTAAGATACTTTGAAAGAAATATCCAAATAAGAGCAGTATATAAAGACATTAGTGACAGTGAGATTCCATAAGGAGGCCTCAGAAACTGTCTGGTCTACAGGTCAGGGTAATTTTAAATCCTAAACTCTGACACCTGAGGGTAGGCTGCAAGGTAGTTAGTTGTAATCTGACAGTGGATTCCACACTTCTTAGCTGAGAGTATCCAGGAATTACTGTACAAAGCAGTAAATATTTGTTCAGAGAAACCCTAAAGGAGCTTTCTCCAACTACATTGGGCTGCCAGTACCAGACAGTATTTTGGATTGAGAGTCCACCTTTCATTATTTTCCAGTGCCATTTGAAATTAAACAAGGCTTGGGGAGCAGCTGAGTCCCCAGGGTTAGATTCTGAGGCCTGGTGACTCTTGCCTCGTCTGTCAGTTCCATAGCAGCTTGGGGCAGTAGTGGGTGCTGGGTTATATTAGTTTGTTTGCCTGTATTTAATAGTCTCCCATTGTTGGTTGAAAAGACCCATTACACTAGACTCCACACTGCCTAGAAGAGCAGGATTGAGGCTTGCCACATTTAGTTGCCTGGTTCACTCTTTTCAATTATGTCTAGAGTCCCGTAATAAGTTCTTGCTTTAGAGTGGGTGTTGGCAAACGGATCCAGCCTGCCTTCTGTTATTGTATAGCCTGTGAGCCAAGTAAGAATGGTTTTTACATTTTTAAATAGTTGAGGAAAAAAGTCAAAAGAAGAATAAAATTTCACGACACATAAAAATGATAAATTCAAATTTGTGTCCATAAATAAAGTTGCGTTGGAACACAGCCATGTCCATTTTTTAATGTATTTTTTATGATTGCTTTTGTGCTACAACAACAAAGTTGTGAAAGAGATTGTGTGGGCCCCAAAGCCTAAAATATTAACTGTCTGAGCCCTTACAGAAAAAGATCACCAGCTCCAACCATAGAGCATTAAATGGTTCCCTAGAGGTTTGAAAGAGTCTGGGCAACAACTAAAAGTTGCTTAGAATTATTCTCAGGGAAGATGACACTGAGAACATCTGACTTCAGCTTTATTAATTTGGGGGAAGTGACTAAGCAATAAAACCTGAGGTGGGATAGAAGAGAGGAGATCTTCTGTTTCTCTTAGGCCAGGAAATAATAGCCTGATGATAGATAAAAATACACAATTTTTTTAGGTATATTTGCAGTACTGCTAAACTCCACCTACTTTATTATTTTTACTTCTGTGTTTAACTGCAGCATAATTTAAATAAAGTAACTTAGTCATCATTTTCACATCTGAAGCATAGGACATCAAGGGAGATAGATCTCCAACAACAGTCTCATTATTTCCATAGTATCACTCACACTTGAGCCTCAAGCCTCTAGAACACAAATAATTGAAAACCACAAGTTATCCAGAAACCCTGTCAGTTTCAACCTCCTCTTAGACTCTTGCTCAAGCTGTCATCAAAAGCCACACTTTTTAGTGTCATCTCTTCCGGTTATGCTCACCCCTCTGGTGGAGAAATCCTTAGGAGCAGTAAAATGGCCAAAAGGTGGCAGTAGGAGGGAGAAGGACTAGAAACTAGAGAAACAAAGAGCCCTCCAGTCACACCCTGGACAATCTCGAGTGGGCTGAACTTCCAAGAAAAATCTTCCTTCCACAACCAAATAAGAATTTCAAAACAAATGCCAAAGGAGGTGTGAATTGGTTTTGCTTAAAGCATTACTCTGAGTGCCGTGGATTATAACTTTATCTAGTTTAGAAAACTTGAGTTTTGAAGGTCCATAGTGTTTTAAGACAGTCAGAAACATTATAAATGTTTAACTTTCTCTGATGCTTTCTGAGTATCTTTTAACCATTATTTGGTTTTGGATTAAATTTTTTAAAAAAATCTTTATATGACTAATGAGCAGCTATGTTATTAAAAAAAAAAAAAAAGACAAAAAGCTGTCCTTATCCTTAGCTATCGACCAGAAGAAACCAGATACTTCCGTGAAGAAACTGGGCAGTGCGGAGGAGCAGGGAGGAGAATAAGCCCGTGCAGAAAAACATGCTTGTGGGCTCACTGCAGGCTGCCTTTGCTTGTGGCTTTTTTCACTTGGACCTGTTAATAAATGGGGCAGCTGTCTTATAGATTTCCCTTGGGAATTGTGTAGTAATTTTCAAGTTTTATTAAAGTCCAATGAGAAAAATGCTAAAGGACAGGAAAAATTTATGTGTAGTTTAGGAAACTCCTCCTTTTGAATCTTTTAATAGAAATGTTTCCTGTGAATTTCATGTCAAAGCAATAAATAGCAAATACTTAAGCAAGTAATTACAAGTAAAAGAAAGTATACTTTCTGCCCATTGGCCTTCAGCCTCTGGATTCTCTGGTATTTAACTGGTTGTCTTTCTTGCCTATTACTAAAACTATCTTTCCATCCCTCATTATTCTCCCAACTGTCTGTTTTTCATCCTATCAAACATGAATTTCTTAACTATATCTGTAATTGTATTTTCAGCCTTGTCTCAGCCCTCCTTTTCTACCCTTATCTTCTCGCTCACACCCTTTGCTCCCAAGCACGTTTTTCCTGCTCTGTAACCCCTTTCTTGCCCAGTGGCCTGCACACAGCCTTCAGGCAGCCCTTGGAGCCCAGACACCCTCCCAGGGCTCACATGAGCCTTCCTCCCTTCCTCACATCTTGTGCTGCTGGCTGAGCAAAGACCGTCTGAATGAATTCACCATAGACGCAGATCATGCTGATTAGGTCATTCACATTGAGTTTCCTTCTCCCACTGCAATCCCTCTTTCCACATCTATGTTTATACTCTGCCTGCTACTTTAAAAATGTGAGCCCTGCTGATAGAAAACTAAGGTGCCACCGTGTTCTGCATAGTGACTTATCAGACAGTATTGAATTTTGGGTGTCTGTGGTGTGCAGAGCCCATTTATGCCATGTGTTGACATTGAGTCAGAGTAATATTAACAATATTATTAAGGCTGCAAAATATATAAAGACCAAACACATTCATCCTTCCTCCTCCAATGATTCGCCATGAAACTTAAGTAGAAACATATTCTTTAGAGAAAAGGCTAAACTTGGTTCCTAGTGTAATATTTAGCACTAGTGACTCTAAATGAGGAAGCATTAAGCAAAGGAATTTTAATTTTTTTTCCTTTCCAAGAGAATGAGTTTTCCAAGTAGTCCAGAATTTGACTTGTATGCAGAAATGCCTAGGTGCATTCTTCTATCAATTTATGTAATTTAAGACATGTAAAGGTGAGAGCTAAAGATTATTTTTGGTGTTTTCAAAAGAATATGCTCTTTTAAAAGCATGTTTCTGTTGTACCATTAGTTTAATAACAACTCAATTCTTTGAAGAAAGTTTGAAATTTTGATAATTTTAATATTAGCAACTATTTAAATTATCCTTTAAGAAAAGGACTACAGAAGTGTATCTCTTAATTTTCTTTTTAAATTTACCTCAAGAAAAATCAGGGAACTTTCACAGAAGATTACAATAACTAATGTGTTTCAGTTCTGTAACCCCAGGTAATTTTTCTTTCTTTTTTGCTCTTACCTAATTTCCCTTATTGTTGTTATAGGATGTTATTTATGTAATTAATAAAATTCAGTGCTGGGAAAGAAAGCTTGGGATTTATAATTTACAGGGAATCTCAAGACTTCGCTTCCTTTTGGCAAGCCTGTGTCCTTCTGTTTCCAGTTTTTAATTGTAACCTCTGCAGCCTGTGAAGGTAGGAATGGGTGGAGATCACTAGGTCTCTGACCTCAGCACCTGAACTCAGCACATAGTTAGTACTGCAAAAGGTCATCTCGGGGTGATGATGTTCAAGGACTACGGGGTTTGTAAATGCCTCAAAACACTATCCCATCCTGACAGTTTGGAAAGCAGGATAGCAGAGTGCTTAAGAGCAGCCATGGACTCTACTTAAGAGTCAGCTGTGCCTGAATTTGAATCCCAATTCTGTCAAAACCAGATGTAACTTGGGCAAATTACTTAACTTCTTTGGGCTTTTGTTTATTTATGTATGAAATGGGAAAATAATGAAATCTTTATCTTATAAAGTCATCACAAGGATTAATAGGGTAAATCTAATGTGACTGTTGAGTGAATGCCGACCAAATGTGGCTGTTTTTATTATGCTTGCTCTCCTGACTGACTGCCTACTTTGGAGCTTTGCTGGAGGTATTTTCTGGGCATCCCCATTTAATTAATTAACTTGTTTATTTTTGCATCCATCGATGAGGTGAGAGTTACCAGCTCAGCCTCTGTGTGCTGTGCTGTATCATCTGCCAGCTGGGGATCATTGGCTCCTTCTAGAGTTGCCCTGTCTTTTCCCATATCTGCTTATTGAAATGACCTTCTTCTTTTACTTTACAGATATATGTAATTGACAGTGCAGACAGAAAAAGATTTGAAGAGACGGGTCAGGTAAATAATTCTGTTCAGAAATTCTCGAAATAACTGGGTATTCATTAATCAGCCTTGTGAATATGTGAGAGGGAGGGAGGTATTTTTTGTTTAACCGTTGCAGTTTAAACAAGACAGTCATTCTGGCAAGCAGGCAAAAATACCAGTTGACTAAAAAGAAATTAGCTGAGAATTCTTTAAACAATTTTTTGATTAAAACCTTTTAATTTTAATCAAATTAAATAAGTAAGGTATAAGCAAATGGAACTTACCACCATGCCTGGGCAAAGCTCTTCAGTTTTCTTCCCAGGCCACATAGAAATTAACCCAGAGAAAAGTTCACTTATCATTTCTATGTACATTTTTCACCAGCCTAATTGATCCAAGGTGACTTTGACAAATTGGAAGGGATGGGAAGAAATTGCAATCCAGGACTAAGCTGCACGTATTTCCATGCCATGAGATAGGTATACTTTGAACCCAAACATGGCTTCAAATGCAGAGTACATGTCAACATGATTACACAATGCAGTTTTTGTACACAGTTTTAAATAGAGAAGCAGTGGGCATAGACCATTTTACCCAGACTGAGTACAGCAATAATAAGCAAAGGGTAGGTAGAGTGGACCTCTGGAGAAACATGCTTATATCTCATTGCAGTGTCCTTGGCCTGTGACCTAAACTACCACAGGTGGCCTTTCAAAGGTAGCAGCCCCCCCAGGTCTATGTTCCTTTTTCCTGGAAATTAGTTTGAGAACTCTCCAGACTCCTGGAGACAGCCCATCTCCCTTCCAGATCATGGTGGTTTATGGATCATCACTCCTATGAACCAATACTAAACATGAGCTTGGAGGTGCAGGGTATCATATAATGATCTGCCCCTTGAACCATTCAGTTCTCTTGGACAGCCCAAGTGTCTTAAGTAGCTAAAATGTGAGTTTAATAGGGTAAAGATGGGTCCTGACATTTAGGAAAGCATACATTTTCCCTGTACTTACTGCAGAGAGAAGCAACATATGGTTTAGACCCCAACCAATAACCCAAAAATCAGAGACCTTGCCAGATGCACTAAAACAGTTGTTTTAGAGTGTGGGTTTAATGAAGTATAATGTACGTGCATACATATTTTGAAGAGATTGATGAAATAATTACAGTCTCCAAACAATTGTCATTTTCAGTTTAAGTTTTAAAATGTGTTTGTTTACATATATACATAAATAAAACACATGTATATACATACACATAGGTATTTATTTACTTGTGTGTGTATATGTGCATTGAAAGGTCATGGCGGATAATAATAACCTTGGGTAACTTTTAAACCTCTAACCACAGCTTGTTTTCTCCCTTGAATAGTGTTTCTCCAAGTATGATCTATGAATCCCCTAGAGCAAAACCACCTGGAGAGCTTGTTAAACATGCAGATTCCTGGGCCCTGGCTCAGACTTTCCAAAGTCAGCATCTCGGGTGAGCCCAGAAATCTGCAAAGGGATTCCTCCACAGGTTCAAGTTTGAGAACCACTGCCCTTGAAAGTTGCTAGTTGATCAGCTTTACTCTTTTGGTTTTTTCTAATTAGAAGTGCGTGGTTAGTATCATAGATTGATTGATTTCATCTTTCCCACCCCATCCGTTCCCATAATGATTCAGGAACTAGCTGAATTACTGGAGGAAGAAAAGCTAAGTTGTGTGCCAGTGCTCATCTTTGCTAACAAGCAAGATTTGCTCACCGCAGCCCCTGCCTCTGAAATTGCAGAAGGACTCAACCTGCACACCATCCGTGACCGGGTCTGGCAAATCCAGTCTTGCTCAGCTCTCACAGGAGAGGGTGTTCAGGTGAGATGACCAACAGGCGTGGTTGCTTGGCAACATGGCAGCCAACCAAGGTAGTCTGCCTTATTGGTTGGACTGATCTAGATAGAAAAAAATATGAAACAAATAGCCTTTGATTGACAGACGAACCATTCTCGGATGTGAAGGGCATGGAGGAGTTTGGTTCTTTTCTCCTGAGGAACCAATCTGATATCATTAAGTATTCCAGGAAAGAAGCAGGTAGAGCGCCCACACAAGCCTCAAACTACCCCATAGGGTAGTCTTCTATTCAGAATAGAAGACTTCAAAGATGCTTTCTAACTCTAGGATTCTTTGATGATTGGGTTGGGGATTTTGTGTTGCATCTAATGTTATGGATGCTAAATACTTGTGCTCCCAAGGTAAGAGCGCCATCAACAGTCACGCACACTAGTTACCTGAGAAGTGTTTTGTTTTCTCTGATGGCTATCTCCACTACCCTGAGAGTTGATTTTAAATCGGTTTCCCACTGAGAGGCTCTGCTGACAGAAGCCCGCATGCTTTATACTTTATACTGAGCCCATAAAAGCAGTCTCCTCCTCATTTGATATTTAGGACAGAACCTGGTTGTATCCCAGGCACCTAAGAGGCTATATCATCAATGAATGATATACAGTGTCAGCTCTGAGGCCCCCACGCAGGGCACATGTCTCATCTGGTGTACAGCGCTCTGAGAGCCAGGCAGCACTGCTCTATGGTGGTGTGGGAGATTAGCAACAGCCAAAGAAATGGTGCCCTCCCTCTTTGCCGTATGTCATGTGTCTCCAGAGGCATGACCAGTTTGCCAGGTTGCTTCTCTCTCAACTTGTGTTGGGACACAAGCCTGTGGTTTAATTCTCGATTGCTGTCCAGGAGCCTCTTTCCATTTCCCTTCTAACACTCTTCCTGCCTCTCTCCTAAGACATTGGACACTGATTTGTCTTGAAACTGCCTGACTGCTTTTCTCTCAAGCAAATAACCACTTCCTAGAATCATCTCAGTTGTCACATCAGTTTGCTGCTTGGTTTTTTTCTTTTCATTACATAAGCAGCAGAACCTGCCTCTGTGCTCAGCCTCCTGGTCTGAGGGCGGCAACCGGCACAGGACAAGTGCACCCCCTCCAGCCTCCGTGCTGCCTGCGCCCTCAGCTCTTCATGCATGCGTGCGTGTTGTGGGCTCTCAGGTAGCCAAACATGACCTTGGCTATGTCCCCCAGATGAGTGCGGGAGCTCTGGGGGTCTCTGAGGTTTAGGTTGAGGGGGTGGGGGGCATATGTTGAATCTTACTTATTTCCTTCCCCTCTTCCTAAATTCTGGTTACAAAACTAATACGTGTTCATTGTAATCATGTAAAAGTAAAAAAATTAAAAACTGAGTTCTTTTTTCTCCCCTAACCCCACTCAACAAAGGAACTAACTACCATTAACAATTTTATTCTTCTAGAGTCTCCTCTACAAAATTTCAGTGACATATGTGATTATATATCTGTAGGTTAACATAACTGCATTTTTCAGCTTAATTTACAAGCTTGTTCAACAACTGCCACCCAGGATGTTTCTAAATAGGTAAACTTTGATCATTTTATTTAGCTTCTCGTTAAAAAAAAAATCAAGTTTTGCCTAAGGTATTTCCCTTGTGCATAGGTAGTATTCAGGAGGCTCAAGGTTATTTTGGTGAGGATGAGGCCCAAGAGAAGATAGTGGTTTTCTTGTGTTTGTACAAATGACTTCAGCAAGAAGACTCTGCCTCTCTAAATGGTTTAGAATACAGGAATGGAAAGCAAAGAACATCTTGAGGCTGGGGACTCCAAAGGCAGGGCCTAAAAAAAATAAATTCATTTTGTGCGCATACATCTAAGACAGTGGGAATTGACAGTCCTACAGTCTTTCCCTTGGCCAGAGTGTTGAAAGGAAGAAAAAGCAAAGCTGGAATTAACAGCTTTGTTTCTTCAGCCAGACTTGGGGATGTAAAAAGAAGGACTAGGGTTTCTAGAATCAGTATTTAGCACAGTGGCATTCAAATCAAGGACGCTGCCTCAGAGAGCCTGGAGATTTGGGAAGGAGTGCTTGTCGTGCCTTCCCAGGCCCCACCCAGCCCTGCTCCTGCCAGAGATTACATGGATGGAGCTCTCTGTCCCCGGCCGTGTAACCACCACAGAAATGGCTTCTTCCTTTGAAGTCACAGGAGACAGTGAGCCTTAAGTTAGAGGTTGAGGGTAGGCAGTGGAGGACTTTCAAATCAACCAGCTTCTGAATCCAGTGAGGCAGTCATCTATGGTTTGATTTTGTTAAGACAGTGCTTCTCAGATCAGGGTCTTCAGCAACCAGGTTCACAGGAAATGTTATCAAGAGAGATCCAGCACAGAACTGAGCAAAAACGTAATGATTTTATATGGAGGAGACATAGTTTGAAGGTCACTTAATTAGTTTAGTAGATAGTACCATGGTGTATAGAATTGGGTAGTTAAGACTGGGATTTCAAGGTTAATGAGATTAGCTTATGGTTAATAGAATGATATAAATTTAGGGAATTTAACCATTATTTGAAATGGGTTATTTAATAAAAATGTTAATTAAGAAGGGAATCTGCTGTCTGTTGTCCTTTAATGGTAACCTTTGGGAACTGGAGAAAGACCGTGAAGTTTTCTGTGGAAAGGTTTTTCAGTGTGAGGCACTGACTGACCATGTCCCTCCCCGGGTAATGCCTCTGACCTAAGCTTTCTCCCACTCAGCGAGATTCTTCGTTTTCACTTTAAAAAGAGTCACTTAGATGGAAGTTTTTTTCTGCATTGCTTAGTTCAAGGGCAGGCGTTAGTGATGATTCTTATTAAATAAGGCTTTACATTATTCCTAAAAGTGAAAGAGTCACT